TGATGTTGCCGTTGGGGATATGATTGTATCTATTGATGGGCGGAGTCTCATTGGAGTCAGACACTACGAGGTTGCAAGATTGTTAAAAGAACTCCCGAGATACTATAGTTTCGATATGACACTGGTTGAACCAAGAAAAGCATTTGGTATGCAATAAATGTAATACATATACATGTACTTTATTATGTATTTTAGTGATAGCATTATTTTTGTTTTGTTCTCTTTTTTCAACAATTTTAATGTGCATTTTAATTTTGTCATCTTTTTTCTTTTTCAGCTGTTGCTCCAAGAGGATTAGGCCAGTCTAACCTAAAGCCGGTTTCAAAACTATTAGATGATCCTTCTTCCTCTGTCTCTGACACTGCCTCTCTCTCCTCCTCTAACACTGAGAGACCACCAACCCTCAGACTCAAGTCGGACGGACAAGCATTGATAGAAGAAGCAGTAAGTATCACATGATCATCACATAATTGTCACATGATCGCATGATCTTATTAATAGATGACTTCATGGACTAAGCAAACTGTAGAGAGAGTGGATGATCTACTGGAGAGTTTCATGGGAATCAGAGACAACCAGTTAGGTAAGCCTGTTTGACTAGTTTTGAATACCGGTCAATCTAGAATTGTATTTTTAGTTCTTATGATTTTTGCAAAAGCATTTTTATCTCTTCTCTTTGTTTCTGTAGCTCATGTTATTGTTGATTTAGCTCGGGATAAGAGCAGTGTTGATGAGTTTATTGAAACTGTCGCATCTTCAAGTTCACTTGGTCACTTCCAATTTCCTCCTGATTTCATTACTGAACTGTGGAGTGTTATACGATGAATATAGAGATTGAGAAAGAGTGGAGGAAGGTTTTATATTATTTATTTTTGTACCTGGGGCAATATATTACTTAATATTAATTTTTTATTAATTTTTATGCACTTTTCTCAATGATTAATTTCTATGAGTGGGCGTTGAATAAAGTACCGTATTAGTTTTCAAAATTGAGGCGAAAGTTTTACTTTCTCTAATTAAACAATACAAAATGGCGTCCGAAGAAGTGGAACAAAAAGTCCAAATCTTTTTAACATATTTAATTCAAAAGAAGTAATGGCTCCACTAATACCTCCTGTACTATTAACTATTATTTTTAGATTCACGAGTACTTACGATTTAGCTCAGAAAACGGTCCTACTACTAAGAGATATAATATCAAAATCAAAATGGGCCAATCCTAGGTAGATGTATTATACTTGTGGGCGTGGTTTATTGTTTATAGGGAACTAATGGAGAGGGTGAGGGAGGACGGGAAGAGAATCATTACAGCTCAAGCTGGGGGTAAGAGGAATTAATATTTAATTGTATAATTTTCTAATTAATTTTTTAAGAAAATGTAGTATGCAATATGGTCAGAAGAGGTATAATACTAATAATTATTAATATTTTTATTATTTTTTAAAAATTAATTTTTAGTTCTTAAAATTATTCGTGAAGAACTTGTAAGGTACTCGTATTTTAATTATGTCTCGTTACCATAGCAACTCGTAGGTGTCTGAGAGGATCCGATTCTGAGAGCATGGACCTCAAGGATTCGTTACATGTAAGTGGATGTGGTTATCTGGTGCTCTTTAATTAGAAATACAGACTATGCTAAAAGGAGGTGAAGATTATGATGATCTGTCAAAGCCTGTACCTAATTTAAAAGTAATAGTGGGCGGAGTCATTAATAATAATGAATAATTAATTAGGGTGCTGTTATTGAAGCCATACACGAATTATTAGGAGAAATGGAAGAAAGGTAATTAATTAATTATTCATTGTTTTAAGCCCCTCCCTCTTTCAGTGCATCCAATATTGCAGCACAAGCATTGGACCACATTCATTCCAATGAGGTCATTATGACATCAGGTCATTCTAAAACAGTAGAAGCTTTTCTTAAAGGTAATATTGTATTATATTCAGCTACATGTACATGTAGAAAGTTTTTGGGCTAAGTACTAATGAAGTTTTTTTGAGTTATGGCCATTTTAAAAAATTGGCTGATTTCTGAAGAATAGACTGTACTATAGCCCATGGTTTTTTCCAAAAAATGGCTCCGAAATCACTCCAAATTTTTATTACATTTTCTGATGCATATTGATGTTCTTTTGCTGAGTAGCAAGTTTGAGCTGATTCCGACAAATATTTTTCAAGTTACGGTCGTTTTAAGAAAATGCCAAAATTTTGAAAAATACCCAAGGCTATAGCCCATGGTTTTTTCCAAAAATTGGCTCCGAAATCACCCCAAATTTTTATTACATTTTCTGATACATATTAATGTACTTATGTTGTGTAGAAGTTTGAGCTGGTTCCGACAAATATTTTTCAAGTTACGGCCATTTTAAGAAAACGTCAAAATTCTGAAAAATACCCAAGGCTATAGCCCATGGTTTTTTCCAAAAAATGACCCCGAAATCACCCCAAATTTTTATTACATTTTCAGATACATATTGATGTCCTTACACTATATAGAAAGTTTGATCTGATTCCGACAAATATTTTTCGAGTTATGGCCATTTTAAGAAAATGCCAAAATTTTGAAAAATACCCAAGGCCCAAGAAATAGTCCTTTATTTTGTAACATTCTTTGATACAGATATGCTCCATGTATCTTAGTATGTATTTTAAAATTTTTGAGCTGATTCTGATTTTTATTTTAGGTGCTGCTAGAAAGAGAAAATTTCAAGTGATTGTAGCGGAATCATCACCCTCTTATCAAGTAATGTTTAAGCACACCCATTGACCACGCCTACTATACCACAGGGTCAAAAACTAGCTCGTAATTTAGCTGAAGCAAAAATCGAAACGACCGTAATCACCGACTCGGCAGTTTTTGCTCTAATGTCAAGAGTTAATAAGGTATGTTTTGTGGGCGTGGTTCATTACACCATTGACCACACCCATCACAGGTGATAATCGGAACTCATACAGTAATGGCCGATGGAGGGTGAGAGAGCTAGTTATTATATTAATAGTTAAATTTTGTATTTATTTTAATTTTATTTTTTAAAATG